TTTCTGGGACTGTCTTGCTCCAAAGAGCTTTGTCCGTCACAATGTTTTTTGAAAAGAGAATTTAGGCTGCCTCTGGCTTTCACCTCTGTTTTAAATGCAAAATGGTCTTACATGTAATCATGCAGTGGATGAAGGGCTTGAATCGCTTTCAAAATTACTTGGTCTTCTCCCACCGCCCTTTTGAAACATTACATGGTTATTTTTAAGCTATAGCTATTCCATTGTTTAATTTAAAACGCTTTAGATTAAGGTTAATTTATCACTTTGGAATAAAGCAATAGTTATTTTTACACCCATTGTTTTGTAAATCGATTGGTACCCGTATCAAGAAATTACAAACTGCCAGTTACTAGTCTGCAGTACAGACGCCTTATTGGGGAGCGCGAGTTAACGTTATGACCTCGTTATGACCTCGCGATCGTTCATCCGTGGTAACTTGCAAACACTTATAATCAAACAGCCGGGCCTGGCGTCACAGTATGGAAAGCGCATCAGCAAGATGTTCACGGAAAATTTCATATTTTGTCCCTCGAAGGCAAATATTTAGAGACTTCAAAACATATCTTGTAATATAAATGAGCCTAAACACAGAATAAGCACATGGCAAATTACAGAGGTGTCAAACTTTGCGAAGCGGAAACCGTGATGCAGACCTAAGACCTCTGAAAATTTTGCTATAGCACAGTCTAACGGCTCAACTCTACTGTAAATATCTTCAAATAACACAACAAAGAAAGGTCGAGAACCCGAAAAGACATGAAAGCATGACTGATCATCGCAGTTATGCACACAACTTAAGCAGATGTGAATTTTTTTCAGGCTTAAATTTCACAACTGCTTAAGGTATCATGGTAGGTGGATTGGCGCTTTGAAAGAAAATCCCATCAACCTATACATTTTCTGAAGGCTTAATAGTTATAGAATACAATCATATCTTTGAAAATTTCTAAAAAGTTATTGTCGCAGTGATATTAAAAGAAATACCCAGAAATACTGCTTCGCTTAAACTGGTTCGCTTCCGCGTGTGAATTATCGGAGCGGCACGATTTACATCGGAAGTGTTTTCTCACAAATCACCCTCAAAAATCGTGTCTGCGATTTTCCAGATGTGATTTGGTTTTTTTTCTACACCCTCCTAAACTTTGATATTTTTAATGCGGACATTTCCTTCTACAAAAGAGGCCATAACTTTGAAACGGAAGCGAAATTAAACAAAGCCCGACAGGGTTTTTCGAAGGAGGTATCCTGGAACATACCTGCCGATTTTCAGCCAATTCCATCGGAAGACGCGCGTAAACGAACT